AAACCAGAAATTGCTCTCTTCAAACTGTAAATTATAAATGATCCTGAGAGAATATTCAGTGTGTTAAGGATTTCCCTGCCCTACTGTTAGCTCTATACAAGAGAGGAAGGGCGATTCTTTTTTAATTTCGGTTTCGCTGACACGGCTTTTGCAGAAATCTCGCTGTAGCCGTTTTCGTCGACGAAAGGAATAGCAAAATCGCTCTCCGCGTCTTCCCCCATTTTGTTCTGCGTCATTTCGTGAAGGACGCGTGGCTCTAAGCGTGGGTCATCCACGCAGAACACATTCGCGCTATGTGATTGGCTGTTGTCTAATCCCCCTTGAGATCTGTGGTGTTAAAAATAACTCGAGACGAATTACCTATGGAATAGGGTGTATATGGGGGATGGCCTCTCTGTCCCCTTTATAGTCTCTTGCTGGCATTCATCGAAGGTAAGATCTTGAATTTGATGTTTCTTAAAATTAATATTCCGGTGGTAGTCATCGAGATTTGGTTACGAGTAACTCACAATCAGAGACAAAAAACTCTCAAAGTCGCTTCAGTCTTATTATTCCGCCATATTTTAAAGACTAAATCGTGCCTCGAATGCGGCTCTAACCTGTTAAATTCCCGGATGTGACCGGGCATTCTACACGATGCGTGAGTTTTGAATTAAAGGGGTCCAGTTGACATTTGTTCCCTATGACCTAGTTAGGGAAAAACTGGGCAGAATCAGAGTTCAGCTGTACGGTGAGTTAGCTGGCATCAAATAAATTCAGGCATGAGTAGCTGTCAGTGATCTTAGCTAATAATGAAAGCGAGTGCAAGAGGAGCTTATAAGTCACTTGCGTTTCGAAATTTATGTATAATTACGTTGTTATTGTTGTGGTCGGATAAAGGGCAACATAGGAGCTGGCTACAAAAATATTGTTTTCGCGATGGAAACAAAGGTAAAAAAGTTAAACTGTCTTTCGTCATATTAAGGACTGAATAGATTTCAAAATGATTTTAAAAATTGTTTTGAACCACGAAACGTCGATCCCTAGCCGCGAGTAGCGGCTGTATTTGCATTGTAGAAGTATGCGTAATAACCATGTTCTAAACAAAAATTAATAAGAGCAAAAAAACGGCGAAAAAACAAAGCTTTAACTCAACGGTTAGTGTTAANGCGCTATGTGATTGGCTGTTGTCTAATCCCCCTTGAGATCTGTGGTGTTAAAAATAACTCGAGACGAATTACCTATGGAATAGGGTGTATATGGGGGATGGCCTCTCTGTCCCCTTTATAGTCTCTTGCTGGCATTCATCGAAGGTAAGATCTTGAATTTGATGTTTCTTAAAATTAATATTCCGGTGGTAGTCATCGAGATTTGGTTACGAGTAACTCACAATCAGAGACAAAAAACTCTCAAAGTCGCTTCAGTCTTATTATTCCGCCATATTTTAAAGACTAAATCGTGCCTCGAATGCGGCTCTAACCTGTTAAATTCCCGGATGTGACCGGGCATTCTACACGATGCGTGAGTTTTGAATTAAAGGGGTCCAGTTGACATTTGTTCCCTATGACCTAGTTAGGGAAAAACTGGGCAGAATCAGAGTTCAGCTGTACGGTGAGTTAGCTGGCATCAAATAAATTCAGGCATGAGTAGCTGTCAGTGATCTTAGCTAATAATGAAAGCGAGTGCAAGAGGAGCTTATAAGTCACTTGCGTTTCGAAATTTATGTATAATTACGTTGTTATTGTTGTGGTCGGATAAAGGGCAACATAGGAGCTGGCTACAAAAATATTGTTTTCGCGATGGAAACAAAGGTAAAAAAGTTAAACTGTCTTTCGTCATATTAAGGACTGAATAGATTTCAAAATGATTTTAAAAATTGTTTTGAACCACGAAACGTCGATCCCTAGCCGCGAGTAGCGGCTGTATTTGCATTGTAGAAGTATGCGTAATAACCATGTTCTAAACAAAAATTAATAAGAGCAAAAAAACGGCGAAAAAACAAAGCTTTAACTCAACGGTTAGTGTTAAGTTGACACGATTTTATAACTTGTTGATTGAGATCAGGCTTCTTGCCAGTTAATTTGCATAGCTTCGTTGAGGTAAACCCTTTAAGTCAGGTAAGAGTGACCAAAGTCAATTTTCTCCCAACAAAATCAATACATAATCAAGGAAAAATGTTGTCAGAATTAAGAAAATAATCACCTGATGGGAAAAGCTTTGATATACAAACAAATTCTCTTAACCAGGTCTTCAAGGAAATGTATGGAGGTTAGCCTGAAGAATTTGTATTTGGATATTGTAGCTTAAAGGGTTAAGCTGAAATTTTTGTCAAGTTGCCATCTGCACTGAAGCAGGATGTACGGCAATGTTCCGTGCTCTGTAAGTGTGGACCTGTTGTCAGAAGAGAGCTTTTCTCACTGACACGTGTAGAAACACGTGTTTGCTACATCTGTGAAACGCCCTAGATTTCTCTACACGTGTCTGTTAGCGTCCTTCTTTTTTAAAAAAACTAAAACTTAATCAGTTCTTTCGTTTATTATTAATATTTGCTTGTAAACATAGGTTCTAAAAAATTCAAACAGTGTTTCAAATTATTTTGACACAAATCGAAAAATGTTTTACAAACTAAAAAGAATCGAGATCTTTTTAATACTTGATTCTCGTTGCCATGCATTTTGAAGGAAGGAGTTTAAATACCCGAAGATAAGTATAATATTCATCAAAATTTTTTGAGATGGACATTTTAATATATAAGCTTAAATAGCTCTTATCTTAATGAACTAAAAGTAAAATATCGTGTATTAATTTGCGGTTCTTTAAGTGCAACTAGAATTTTTACAATTGTTGTTAGAGAATCTCGACGTTTTCAATTATGTCATAATTTATTTTCATCAGTGGAAAGCAAATACATAAACACTTTTCTTGACGATTTAGCTTCTCTTCCAATGATCAAATAACATTTTTTCCGTAATAAAGTATGGCACTGCAGTTGTATAAGAATGCTGAGCTATATTGATTCCGACATCGAGGCACCGAGGTCTCATATAAGAACAATATACAACAAAAACTAACATCATTGAATAAATCATGTATGCAATAGGGATACCATTTTTAAAAGGAGTCAAATACGAAAGGGGCATATCAAAGGGTAAAAATTTAGACCTCGCTGCCGAGCCCCCCAGTGCAGATCTTTGTTCAGTATCCCTGCAAATCATGACCCTCCACTTATATCTAGAGTCTCTTTATGATTGGGTTTGTATATACGTAGTCTAAGGTTACTTAGATAACCCACATTTTTTTTGACAGGTTTTTTGAGTGGTGATCGTCTTTTTAATGGAGTTGTTAACGGAAGCTTCCTGTTTTGCACGCGTCAAAGGGGCAGGCACGCTAGCCAAAATAAAGAAGAAAAAATGCATTACTGAAAAATGCTTACGCTTAAGTAAGCTAGCCAAAAGAAAACCACACATGCCCATGGCTTACCAGAGGCTATGTACTTAAGTCTTCTATTTTGCTGATAAATCCGCAGGAAAAAATGTTTAATTGCATAGACTTAAACAAAAATACCATTTCATTCCTTGAATGCACATTATTCACCACTACAGAAACAGTCGGTCTCACCAAACGGCGCCACGAAACTGAGAGAACTACAGAATGAAAAAGTAACTTTTAGCTGTTTTTTCCTCTAGAACGCTGACACTGTTGCAACAAATATAACCTACTCTTATTCAAGCCTCTGTGTCTTTCTTTGTACATGGCTTGTAATGAATACACAATGCGCAGAAGGTTGCTATGATCGGCTACCGTAAATCTCGTCTTATAAGCCCCCCCCCTATAAACGCCCCCCCCCCCCCGTCCTCCCGTTATTGGCCCATCTCCCTTACAAAAAAAGTATATTTCCAGTTATTAGCCCTTTGGATATAAGCTCCCATCTGCCCATTGATATTAATTTTGAATTTCTAAGACGTGTTTTTTTTTTAAAAAATGGGTAATTAAAATTCACATTTAAAATATTTTCATCAGCACCCGCTGGTTTTGAAACACTTTTTTAGTCCAGTTATAACACACCCGGGTAGCCCCCCTCCCCCCATCTTCCCCCGTTTTATAAACTCAGGGCTTACTATTAGTAGTTTAAGCTATTATATAAATGAAGCCACCTTGAATGCAGATGTTCTGTGCAGTGGTATGTACGTGTACTACTCCACCAGCAAGACTCATGCCCCATGGCATCATTTAAAACACTCTGGAATCCGCGCCTCGAAGACTACGTGACAAAGGTGAATTTGAAAGAGAATTGTTACTAAGCGAAGGTCGCTATATTGGGTTTTGAAGTGGTATTGCTAGCGCAGAGCCCATATGCTAGGTTAAAATCCTTTAGGTACTTCATTTAGCTAATACTGGACCTTCTAGTCCCACATGGTGCTGCCTATGAAGGCCAATGCTACTGTCTCATCATCTTAATATTACCCCCAGATTCTTTATCCGGATAGTGGAATTGCAAAATACGGTCTGGGAACTGCCCTGCAGGACCGTACAATGGAGGAGTCTGTGGTACGGAACACTCCGGCCCACGCCAAAGAATGATGATGAAGATTATACGGTCAAAGTTTTTAAATTTGCATCAGTATTTGTCTAACTTGCGCACCTGCTCCTTCCTGACGTTTAAATGGCATTGGTCATGACCCGTATCGAACTTGAATCATATCATTGAATTCTGAAATTTATAGCACAATACCCTTACCTACTCACTAATGGATATCTTTCTGTAGAACGTTGTGGATGGGATCGTTAGGTTTGAGGTGTCTAAGTGGAAACCCGTCAACACAATATAACTGCTAACGCGTGCTGTACCCATGCACGAAGTTCAGAGAAAGATTGCTAAACCAACAGCTCTGTGTTAATATCTTCTTACTTCTTGGAAGCGCCTTAGCTCGACCTCAGTGAGTCATTTGTAAAGTAGTTACGGGAAGTCAATTTTTCTCAAGAGCTTCCTGTGGATTTTACAACACATACGCTCCCACATGATGGCACAATGCGCAAATGAAAGCTTTTGCCTAAGGAATAATTCACTCGAGGACGCCTCAGTGGCAAAGACGCAGATGTCTTTCGGCGAGACCCTAATGCTGTCCTTTGAGGCTCTAATTGTAATGTTGGGAGTTTTTGGCAACATTTCAGTGCTCATCGTCATAAGTCGTCTGGGAAAGAAAAAACAGCCAGTGGATTACTACGTGCAAAATTTAGCCATAGCAGACCTTGGTATCCTGCTAATAGCTTTTCCCCTCGTCATCATCAGAATTGAAATGCCTTCGAACTGGCCCTTTGGCGAGTTTGCTTGCCTCTACTTTTACCCTATGGTGGAAATTTTCTATGGAGCGTCAGTGTGGCACATTGTGGTCATCGCATTTGAGCGCTACCAAAGAATGATTTCGATGAAAATACTTGGCCAAAACAGCAGGAACAAAACAACTTTTCAAAGAGCTAAAACTATCGCCACTGGTGTTTGGGCCATATCATTTTTGATATTCTGCCTTCCACTTTACTTTGTTGTTAAATACGTTCACCTTCCAGGTGGAGGTACATTTTGTGGCCCGGCCAAGTGGACTAGGTCCTCAGCGATAGGATATATGGTCTGCTTAATTCTGCTTACATATCTCTTGCCTCTGGTTGTAATATCATTTACTTACATATCTATATCGCGTGTGTTAAAGCGGAGCGATGACTTCATCAAAACTATGAAACAGGTACAACCGGTGCCAGTGTCAGAGAGCAACAAACTTTTCCTAGCCCGCCATGCAAAAAGCATTCGCCTTAGACAAAACAACAGAGCGAAGAAAATTCTTACTCCCTTCGTTGTGACATTTGCTGTTACAATGCTTCCTGTAAACGTGTTTCGTGTGACCTCAGTGGTTTGGCCAGCGTTCGAAGAGCAAGAATACTACGCATATCTAGTTTATACAATGATAGTTCTGACTTTCATTAACTCGGCGGCAAACCCTATAATTTATTCGTTAGTAAGCAAAGAATTTCGCAGGGGGATATATAGTTTATTCCACCAAAATCTATGCCAGTGGCCTTGTAAACTAGCTGGACTACTTAATTCGAACTCTCAATAATGTTATTAGCATAACTATTACATCGAGCCCGTTTTGACGAGTTTTTGAACCAACGAATCTTTAAGCTGAGTAACCCACTTACACGGAACCGTACTGTTACAGTTACTGTACTGTTTAGACGACTCCGTACAGTGCCAACGTTGGAATAGCTATTTTTTCTTCTCTAATCAAAGGCGCGTAACTAACCTCTAGGCTTTAACCGCACAAAATCTGCTCTTTTTAGAAGCGACGAGTAACGAGTAACGCGTAAAAGTGGAGCTGTACGCGTCGAAAGTTTTGACCTACATCTGATCAGGTCAAAAACTTGCACTTCCGTTCAAAAATTTTTCCCGAACTTGTGTTAAGGGGCTAGGTACATGTAGTTATGCTTAGAAGACAACTTATAGGTACGTAAGTACGTTCTTCAGTAGTTTGATTAACATGTTTTTTTATTATTTAGTTTTTGAGCTCCCGCCGCTTTTGTTTAATGTTTACTGGCAGGTTATCATTTATCATTATCGTCATAATTAGCTCCATTTTGGAGCTTTTTTTCTCGCGTAAATGGATGCACCGTACTGTTCCGTATGCGTGCGAATCCATAGTACGACAATTACTAAAAGAAGAAGTAAATGCTATCAAAACATCAGAAATACTATTTTCTAGTCCCCTGTAAGACTTATTTGATAGTTAAAATTCGCGGGAATTCTGACTGGTCTATGAAAACGCGGCCACCTGGACACAAGGGAATTACTCTCTCCCCGGCATGGGCTCCCGCTTTAACTTGGTTTTAAGAAAAAAAAAAAGGAAAATTGTAAAACTCTACTAGTACCAGTAAGGCCTTGAGGGCCGATATATAATAAAGCTATTACAAAAATATGTTCCTCTTGAATACGGGTCTTACATTTGTGTATTTCCTAAGTTCAAGGTTCATATAGCTAAGAAGAGATGGGAGGCTGTGAAACGTATTCTGTTGGTTCTGTATAATGACACTTCCTTGAGTAGTTTTTCTTCCATTTCCTGGAGGCGATCTGGACTGATTTCAATGCGGTGTAATTGATTGCCTCGTAATTTGGGTGGAAAAGAAAAAATGATGAGCACAGACTAAGCATCCTAGGGACTGAAATTACTTGCAGGGAAGGCTGCAAGAAGACTAAAGGGGAACGACCAAGATGTAACCGACATGCAGGCAAATGTTGAAATTTGGCAAAATTGAAATTCTACCGCCTTACAAGAAGGAAAGAAGTAAAACACTTTGAGCTCATCAATTTGTTGTATGCCAGGCGATTATCGATAACAATCGTTAGTACTCAATAGCAATCGAAGATTAATATCGACTTCCGATATCAATCGATAGAAATCGACCAAGAAAAAAGTTGTGACTTCGATAATTATTGATTTATCTATTATCATCGATTACTATTGATTATTATCGGTAAAGACTTATAATAAGGAAAGAAATACAAGATGCAACTGATGGAGCTGGATTGAGTGGAAATGTAAACATCTATTAAAACTATGCCAAAGGAACAAAAAATGGAACGCGATGACTGAAGAATGGCTACTCTTGGAGTAGTTGCTGAAGTCAAAAATAAAATGTGTTAAGCTAAAGCCGTTCACGTCAGTGTTGTTTGTCAAATAGCATATCATCTTCATGTTCAGAATGGCCGAATTCATATTAGAGACGGAAAACCGTCTTGGACGGGAAACTCGTCTATCGACGGAAAACTCGTCTTATATGAATCTGGTTAAGGACGAGTTTTCCGTCTTAAATTTATCAGGCGCCCAAGAAGGACAAGAAGGTGAAGTCCACTGCAGAGCAGACAAAGAGAAACAAAGTTTGGATCTTCTATAGCATTCAGTATAAAATTAAAGGTATCGCGATTTACCCTTAACCTTCTTTTAAACTGTTCGTTTGTGCAGTTGTGATATCCATGCTCCCACCATAGGCAATCCGTCTCTGATCCACGGGACCTTTCCCTTTTCGCTCTTTCTAGATGAGCATACTGCACCGGCTGCAATATTTTGAATTGAAATCTCCTCCTCAAGTAAAGTTTTTTTCGTGCTTTAGAACCACCATCTCTCCTTCTTAAATACTCTATGCTATCTTGAGCCTTCCGTTTAATTCTCGCTTTTGACCGTCCCCAGAGGTTTTGAGCAAAAATGATGGAAGCCATGTTTTGTTCTTCGCAACCTGTCCTGATCTCCCTAAGTATTTTCTGTCTTACATTTATTTTACAATTTACATTGGTCGCGCCGGATTTTAAGACGATTTCCCGTCCTTAAATTTATATTAGACAGTATTCCCACCCGTTGTCGCTTCTATAGCCCATCATAGTAGTACCATAGCAACTACTACAAACCGATGGAACAGCCATGGGAACAAAATGGCGTTGCTTTTGCAAACATCGTCATGGCCAGAATAGAAAATCAAATATTGAGTCAGAGTTGCATCAAACCGCTTTTTGGAAAAGGTATATTGATGATGTGTTGTCACTATGGGACAAGTCTAGAGAACAAAGAGAGCTTTGTGGAAAAGGCAAATGACTTTCTGTCTACAATAAAATTCACGGCTGAGATGTCAGAAGTAGAGATCTCGTTCTTGAACACTAAAGTGTACAAAGGGGCTAGATTCGACAAGGAATCAATCCTAGACGTGCAAACACATTACAAACCAACAGAAACCTTCGAATACATGAACTTCTACTCGAGTCACCCACCAGACGTGAAGAAAGGCTTCATTAAAGGCATGTTAAAGGAGAAACGCTCATGCTACTATGGACTAATTCCTTGCAGATCACATTTGAGAGGAATATAAGAAACTATCAAAACCGCCCGTTAGAAAGAGGCTACCCTGCCGCTATTTTAAGAAAGTACCTTTCTGAGGTACCATTTGCCGACAGGAAAACAGCCCTACCCTTGACAGAGAAACAAATCCGTACGTGAAAAACACCCTAGCGTGAAGAGAATACAAGTGGGGAAATGGCACCTTATACAAAACCAGCAACGGCTAAGAGAAATCTTTAAGGAGCCTCCCCTCATATCTTATCGCAAGGGAAAATCTCTTAAGGACCTACTAGTTAAAGCGAAGCTCTGAAGGTCATATAACTTCCAAAACGACAAAGTGAAGGGGTCGTGCGATTTCCGTCGCTCATTTTTAACCATGTTTAATAACCTTAAATGCTATGCTTGCCGCTTCCCCTACAAGAATTTTCTTTACGTATCACCACTCGCAGGTTTTTTTTTTTTTTCAGATAAGCTTCCCTTGCAGGAATTCTTTTGGGGGAATTGTCATCCCCTATAAGCGACGGTGTTTTCTGCTCGTCATTGGCCGGCGACAATCATTTCTCCGGTTGAATGGACATCAATTCCGACAGTATATTTTTCTGTTGAATGAGCATTGATTCTTGAATAATTATCCAGCTGAATATGTAATAAGTTCTTCGAATTTACTCCAGAAACCCGGTTCGTTTTAATATGAGGTCGACCAGTAACTACGGAAATCGGTCGCACAAGTAGAGAAAACTTCGCTTTCTTAGAAGACCAAAATATCGAAGTCTGTACAGGATTGCACTTTGTTCTTGAAAGCATGTCAATCGCTTCCAGCAGTTTCGCAGCGAGATGAAGGAAGGCTAAATACTTAAATAGTCACAACGGGTCAATTTGTCTTGATAGCTCCAATAAAGGAATTAAAAACAAAA